CCCCAAAACCCCAAAACCCCAAAACCCCATCATAATTTATAAGATATTATTTGAGATTAGAAAATTAATAATAATTGCTTAAATTTACATAAATACAAATTTATAATGTCACTTGTTCTCGATGACTTTAAGAATACTAAGCGTCAGCATAAATAATACATCAATGATATTTCTGATATATTTGATGATGTTCTGGATTAAACTGATGTTGGTAAGTTAATGTTTCCTCTGCATAATAGGTTTTTTAAATGATATCATGAACCTTATAATAAATTATGGAATAGGAAGGAAAGAAAAGATCGTAACAGGATTGAAAAGCAAAATGGGGTAAGCAGAAAAAAGTGTAGGTTATTATTCTAAGGTGTTTATAATTATGAATATAGTTAACAGAGATGGAATAATTCTGGGCAATGCTTGACCCTCATGAAAAAGCCTAATATAGAAATAAAGTAATTATTCCAATTAGAGTGCTTTATTCATTCATTTTTTTAGATGACAAAATTTAGAGCTGATTATGAGAACATGAGGAAAAAATACTTCAAAATTAATGATTCAGTCTAGGGTGAATAGAACAGGTTGAAGCTTGAACAAAAGTCTACTATGAAGGTACGCTTTCTTATAGAATAAATCATGATATTAGGATGAATAAGAACGTGATATGCGTAAGAAACTATTGGACGGGACAGAAAATCTTTATGGCTAAAGTAAGCAGCTTGAGAATACTAAAAAGATGGGACTGGAGACAAATGAATACATAAGGCTTGCAAACAGAGATCTTAGAGATTAAAGAGATATTCTGATTAGCGTTGGTGACAAGAATGCCTAAATTAGAGTTGATTTGGAAAGAGGTAATAAGATCATAACAGAAATGAGCATGCGAGAGTATCTCTATAGAGTTGCAATTCATTTCACTGCATTTTTACTGCTCATGGCAATCTTGATTTGTATCCTTCACAATTTAGTTAAGTGAAGAAATCAGAATCTAATTACTCTCAAACACTGAGTTGAACATAAACATCCTCTTCGTTAATAAGCTCTAACTTATAGTAGATTTTATCAATAATTTGCAATGAATATGATATATATTAAGAGTACGTTTACGGATTAATTTAATTATTTTAAGGCAGTGAGCAGTAATGTGATTGTTAAAATTTAATATTTAATTTGCTAATGGACGATATTTATATTGCAAAAGTTGCTCTCACATCTGACCTAAACCACAAAATGCAGTAACACTAGCCTTATTAAAGTACTAAGATTACCCAAAAAATGGATAGTCAAAAGTAACTGTAAGGAGTAAACTCCCAGAATCTAAACTAATCAACATGTAACTATACTTATCATTTCCAATACTATATCATAGCCTATAATGCTTAAACTAGACTTCTTGATACACAGGGAAACGAACTTAGTTACTCATTAGGATACTCAGAGTCAGATTTAAATACAACCTTAGGTGGGATAGTTAATCAAACTAGACTGCTTAAGCAAGATTCTAGTTCCTCCCAGAATCAGGCTGTTGTTGTTACAAGACCCAGAAATCTTAGTTTTGGCAATAATGGAGCTAAAAACAGTAGGAGATCTCAATATCTAATGAAAAGGGGAACAAATGAAAACAGTGTTGAACATGATGATACGAGTGAGCCTGAGACCAATCATTATTGGAGTAGATCAAGACATTAGTAGTAATAGCATCAACTTGGGACTTAATAAATTAAATATCCCTAACAGTATAAAAGACCTGAAAAAGTAACACCAGATGATGATAGAATGGGATCTGAAAACATATCAAGCGACGAGGGAGACGAAGTTAACCCTGGTAATATATCTATCTATTTATATGTTTATAGTTGTGGCAACTAGTTCATCGAGCAAGAATCTTCATCAATAATAATAAGAGCTGAAATAGAAAAGAGATTAGTATAGAAGCAATGAGCCTCATACCAACAGCAATAAAAGTTTCTTGCTTAAATCCTAAAATCCAATTGATACATTCATGAACGAGGAAACAGTCCCAAATACAATCACATAAAGATATGAGAAATAGGCTGCAATTGATCATAGTAATTCAGCAAAGAATATTTTGAACTAGGCATAGCACTAAAAGAGATTGCAAAATGAAAATGAGCAATCGACTTAGTATCAAGCTGAAACAAATGTTAAGCAAATTCATCAGTAATACAATGATGATTATGATGAAGAAGAAATCTAAAGATTTAATAGATCAATCCTGCAAAATTTTAAAGCTTATGAGGAACCTCCATCTTAGAGACTAATGAAGACTGATTATAGCAACCATTCACTTAAGCGATTCTAAGAAGGTTAGTTAGGTTAAAGTTAAAATTTAAACGTCAACATCATCAATAAAAATGCTGTTAAAAATTTGGATAACTAAAGTAGCAGTCTTGCATCAAGTTAATCCTAACATAGCTTAATGATTGAAAGAGAAGTCTCGAATTCATCAAAGCAAAACTTGAATAGCAATCTTGAAAATATTTATAACAATTTACAACAAAGAATAATCTAAAAGGTCTTAGATACCGATATTAAGAGTTCTGGGAACGCCCATTCTATTACAAGAAAAAATAATAACGATCATACACTCGACTACACTCATGATCAATTGAACATGAGCTATTATGGTTAAAATGTTCTGAAGAACTTTTAAAGAGAAAATAAATAAACTGGTTAAGTAAATAAAAGCTATCTAGATAAAAAGTTTGAAAACTTATACAATGAAAATGCCATCAAATAGCAAAAGCTTAAGAGAATCTAGGAATTAAAAGAAATGTAAAAAATTTTCTAGGAGTAATAGGAATGTACTTTCTCGCCAAAGATTTGCAGAAATGAGCTCATTAGTCCTAGAGGGGGAGTAGATAGTTCTGAAAAAGCAAACTAGCATGGTCAATTGAAAAAGATGAGATCCCCTTAGAAGTTCTATGATGATATGCTGACTTTTAAGCAACAAAGAGACCTGAAGGTGAGTACTTTAAGATAACTTGAGGAATTTACCATTAAAAGTGAAGCATCAATAAAAAGAGGCAATCTTATGAATTAGAAAAGCAGGGCAGAGATGTTTGATAGATTGCATTAAGAGGAGCTTAAGAAGTTGAAGTTGAATAATCTCTCTCCATAGTCATAGGTTAAGCAGGAGAATTCATCTTCAAGAACAAGAGAGGAAATCGTAAATCACCTTTACACAGACTACTTTATTAGAGACACTAAACTAAAAAGTTTATAAAACTAGGTGTTCACTTAAGAACATAATTAACATTAAGAAGCAATCAACTTGGGAAGATCAAATCAGGTGCTTGCTAATAAAATCCAATCATAAGTCAAATAAGCTTATACTGAGATGGAGTTAGAGCAGCAAGATGAACTATCCTTCTTTAATTTGTTAGAATTGATGACTAAATGCGGTTACATTGATTAATTTGACGAGGAACTGAGAAATCAACTGAATTCAATGTGGATGAATCTCATTAAAGACTAGAGTTTAAACACAGAGGCAACAATTACACAAAGAAATCTGCTTATATTCTTAATGGCTGTTGATAATATATTCTTGGACAGTATGAAATTGCAGCCATATGGTCCTCAAGAAAAGAGATAGTTCGGCTACTTCTTAAATGAATACTATTACGTTTAAAATGAGCAAGAGGTTAAGAAAATGCATATGCATTACTAGAGACTTTATCTAAACAGACAAAGAAGACTAGAAGAACTTAAAAGACAATCCTCAAACCAACAATTAATTTCAAGTCCATCCTAAAAGGAGTGTGTATTTACCCCAAATATAAACCCTAAGTCAAAATAAATTGCAGATGAAAGTATAATAAAATTAGAACAAGCAATCAGACAAGGAACCGGAGATAATTAGGTTAAGATTAAAGTAGAAGATTTACTCTTAAGCAAAGGTTAAGTGATTTAGGAAAAATTAAGATAGCAAAGATAAATTCATTAGCAGTAGCAAGAAGATCAATATACCTTTAGTCCATAGCTTTTAACTTCAAAAGCTAATCAAAGCTATTTGAGATTGCAATCTAATTCTAACTCAGTAAGAAGGAAGAACTCAAGTGGTAACCCCACCTAAGGGGCTAAGTCAAGAAATGTATTTGACAAGCTATATGCTAAGGCTCTTACTCAATAAAAGTAAAAAGTTTAAGAAAAGACTAGATTTGAAGTTGTAGAGGAGTAAGAGTACGAGTAGTGTACCTTCAAGCCTAACCTCAATAGAACTCAGAAGATTAACTAGCAGGTAACCAGTATCATTAAGAAATCAAGTTAGTTTTCACAGTAAAAGCATAAGCTCCAAAACTATAGAAATAATATGAATAGACTAACAACACAAAGAAGCTAGCCTAAATTTGCCAATTAATACAAATACAATAATACTTATGAGGGTTAAGAAAATATTTCAAATCTTTGCATAACGAGCAATCAAAACTAAGGCTCATCATTCGTCTAGTATTTATAGAATGACATAACCCCGCAGAGTATGAAGAATAATCTGCTTGATGAAATAGCTGAGGTAACAGCTCACAACAGAAACTCATTTGTCTAGCCATTTAACGAGCATAATTTGAACTATGATTCAAGGTAGAATTCAGAAATTAAAAATTAGCACTAAACCCCTAAAAATGCAAAGGTTAATAGAGTCTAATTCTCTCTGAACAGTACTTATAACACTGGTATCTTTGAGACAGCTAATAAAATCTAAACACTTCATACTATTGATGAAAATGCCAATCAAACTTAGGAAAATCTTAGATATAATCTTAGCAATAAAAATCTAGCAAATCACTTGGAGGGGTCCAGGAGCAAGAAGAACTCTTAGTATTTAATACATAGTAATAACAATAACAATTTGAATGATACTTTGAACAGCAGTAATTATAATGGAAAATAATAATCTAATTCGAAATCTGACTTGACTACCAAGTAGGTAAAGTAATACTTAAAGACTGTCATTCAAAGTTCTCTGTGAATGAAATCAATCAATTTATACCTTAATGTGAAATTTATCTATACAATTATCAATAATTTAGTTTACTTTTGAAGGTAATAATTTATCTTACGGGGTTTTGGGGTTTTGGGGTTTTGGGGAGATCGGAAGAGCACACGTCTGA